ACCTTCGAGGCACATTGCCTCATCGCCAAGAGCGAGGGACACCGCGGCAGCGGATATCACTGCACCAACTGATACTCCATCAAGCTCAATTACCGGGGATCCGAACATGAGTAGGTTTAACACCGCGACAGCCTGCATTTCTAGAGCGACGAGCCCCATAGCCAACTACGTGACAAATCTTCCTCAGACGGCAGGCGATAACAAAGTTTCAGACCACGCTGGATATCAACGTCCATGGGCTGGGTCACTTCCGAATGCCTCCTGGAGAGGCGGGCCCATGCAGGCCCAACCCGCGACGCCTGGCAAGCCTCGAAGGCCCTGGCAATATACACGTTGAATACCATCATGGACTCCAGTGGGGACCCGCACCTGGAACAGCCCCCCTCAGCGTCAGGCCCCAGACTCCGCAACCCACCCGCTAACAGCGGGGCGCCGTCTCGCACATCAAACACTTCACGCGCGCGTGCGGGGGCCTCGGCAACTGCGCGCACGCACCGGGCTGCCGTCCTCCGAGCTGCAGGGAACGGCATTCGTGATGTGTTCAAGGGCTTCCGAGGACATGAATGACCTATCTTCTGGCACTCTCTCTCGCCCTCGTCGGTGCAGCACCTCGACTTGGCGATCGGTGATCGGCGGCGCGAGTGGCCCCACACCTCCTCGCGGGTTGCCGCCCAGCCAGGCGGGGAGGGCAGCGCCTGCTCGACCGGAGGCGAGGGGCAGCGCCTGCGCCGAGAAATCTGTTCTGCTGTGCTGACCCGGTTCTATCTAGGGCCACTCCACGCACCAAGTTTGCACGCAACTGCCATAAATCCACCGGCCAGGTTTTTGAACCACCACGATCATCCGGTAAACATCGTATTCGCTGATCCCCTACTCAATATCTCCCGAACTCTTTGCTCCTGGAGCTGCCATTCTGGAATTCGAGAAAGCCGCAGCTTTGCCTGAGAGATGCGGTTGTGGTGCGCGGCGGACGCGGGGATGATGCCGGGGCCGTTGAACCCACTCCGACCAACCAGCACGAACTGCATCGGGCGTCGACGTCGGGGCCGGCCAGACTTTCAAAACGCCAAGGGCCAACATGCGCTGGCAATGACTCCATTTTGGCTCGCTGTCCAAGGACACGAGGCGGTAGATCTTGAAATCTGCTGAACTCCAAACAACGAAGATGACGTTTATAATCCAGCTTATCGAACCAAGCCGCGGAGCGGCCATGGACCGCTGACAAATGCTTCTTTGGCCACTTGCGAGCCCAGTGTGCACGTACTTGCTGCAATGCATCCCAGGCACAAGACGCCGTGGCATAGGAACGCGTGTTTTGAACTGTCCACTGATAACCAAGAGTTGCACTACCTTAAATGGGGGCCGAAGCCGTCGTAGAACACGGGCGGGAAAACGGCGAGTTGCTGCCTTGGGGGCGGCCCCAAGCGCTGCTGGCTTGAGGTTGCTAGCGACTCGGTGCAGGGCGCGGCGTCGGCGTCGCCCCGTGGCCGGGACGGAGAAAAAACAAGGGGTGGCCGTGAGTTTGCACGGTTCGAGGACAGGGAATTGAGGTGGTCGGGGCGAAATGCTCACAGCGGACCGACGAAGCCAACCATCATGACATATGTCGTCTGTAGCCACCAGAACAACATTGCAGAGGCCCTTTTCCAGGGCGCGGTCGGTGACGGAACTTTCCGAGCGAGGTGTTGTGATGCATTTTGCTGAAGACTTGCGACGCCCGCGAAGAATGTAGCTGCTGTGCGCGATGACGCGGTAACGGGCGGTTGCGATACTTAGCTCGCTTAGGACGTAGAGGTCGGCCAGTTCGCTTCTCGGCTCACTCTTGATCTTCATCTGCGCGGTTGCGGACTTGATGATGGTTGCCTCCGCGGCGTGCGATTTAGCTTCAGATTCCACCGTGCCAATCGGAGCAAGGAAAAACGATCCAGTGCGTTCCCTGAGGGCGCTATACCTGGCAAGACGACCGTCGCGAGCCTGCGGTAATTTCAAGCCAGTCAAGCGTTCCAATGCACGTACTGCTAAGCCGTGTCGGACACGAGAGGAACGCGCGAAATCGGCTTTGCCGATGTAGCATCCCGTGTGGGAGCCGATGAGGTATGTAACAACCTCGGGGCTGTCGGTGATGAGCGTCCACTGCGCGGTCCGCGACCATGCCATTAACGGACGCGCAACCACGTCACCCTGGTACTCCGACGAGAACGCGCGCCATTGCTGCCGAAACCACCGTAAACAATAGGCAGCGTCGTGAGCCCGTCGGAGCCGACGCAGCCCAGACGCAGCCAAGGGTAGACATTTGGTGCTTGCTTTGGCCTCTGCGCGCACACCTCCTCGATTAGGTGGTGGGAACAACGCGTCGACGGGCGCTGCCGAAGCTGCTGCAAGGCTCGCAAGACGATCTGTTTGACTACGCGAATCACACCGTGCGACGATCTCGGGCAGGCTCGGTACTGACGGGTTTCTCAACACCGAGCTCAACCGGTGAGGCTCGGGACGACGAGGAACCTAATGATCGGGCGGTCGCCATCGGTGACGCGCGGGCGCTGCCCGACGCAATGCATGCGCACTTGCCGCGGCAATGAAGGATTGGGGAACTGGAACTCTCCACGGGCCGTTGTCGTAGGCCGGGTCACCGAGGAACTTGCGATGATTTCTGGCCGCTTTTTCCATTGCGCACCGTGTTCAGTTTGCAGTGCTTGGCACGGCTCACGCGAGACCGAACTTTGCGCGTCTGGGCGTCTGTGCCCGCGCGGGCTACTGAGCCCGAAGGAAAGTGCAGTTTAGAGGCTCCGAGTCTTGCTCCATTAAATGCAGCCCAGAATCGAGCTTCACAAATTATTTGAACATTGTGACCCAGCAATCTTTATCTTTCATTGGTTGTTTGGGTTTTCGATCGTAGACTTCGAGTTGAATTATTACATTATTACCCGGCGTGCTCTTCGTTTCGCTGTGCGCTGCATCCTCGGAACGCGTGAACCAAGCGAGCGCGGCCATCGCAAGATGCTGCCGGCCTCCTCGAGAACGACGCGTGCGCTGTAGATGTGTTTTCATTGATTGATGGAAGGCGACGCGATGTGCGATGCATCGGCCCTTCGGTTGGTTCGAGCGGCCCCCTTACAAACATGGAGGCCACGTGTGCATCTAGATGCCGGAGCTCGGTTTGCTACCAGAGTTGGAAGCAAAACAACTATTCGTATTTTGCTGATTTTTTCAGAGACGATCATGCCTTCCTTGATTTAACTCGAGCTGCGATATCGAGACGCTTGAATTCGGCCTGCAAGCGAAGCTACGACTAGAACATTGTTTTTCGCATTGTAAATATCGTACAAGGAATGATGTGCGTTTTCTGAATGAAATATAGTCGCGGCTTGATCCCGTTCAATCCGCGCGAATTTCAACAGCTACTCTCCGCGGGCCTCGGGCGCGGGATTCCGCGCGCCGCGCCGCAGATCGGCGCGCGCGCTACAGCAGGGGCGCGGTCCTTCGTCGATCGGCCCGCCGCCTACGGGCGCGCGCAGCGTCCGCTTCTGGAGCCGCCGCCAGGCCGGATCGGTGACACGAAAGGTTTCGTTGTTTTGGGTTGGCCAAAACCGTAAAATGCTTCATTTCACCGGTCGCGGGTCTGGGTTGCGCCCCTGTCCGGGGCGGGTGCGATTGGTCCTTGCGGGCTTCTGCGGGGGGCTCGCTCTGTTGCGTATCGGGCCTTTCTTGGGGCCCGTCGCGCTCTTCCTCGTGTTCTCCTTCTGGCTCCCCCAAGGCTCCTGTGGAGCTAGTGGGCCCGCTTGCGTCAATTTGGAAGCTCTTGGGTACGTATCGGCGACGCATTAAGGATCTCTGTGTTTCGCCAGAAGCACAGGGTGGTTTCTCAGCGCATTCAGGCTGACGTGGAACCCCCCCTTAGTCCCCGGCCGCCCAGAGAGCGCCATTGGTGCGTTGAGGGTTTCCTTCAGGCGGCGGGCCTTGGTGTCCAAATGTCGTGCGACGCCGTGTGTTGCGCCCCTTCAAATCGCAAGCCCCGTTGATTCGCGAATTTGGCGTCGCGTCGCGCAGACGTCGGCCTCATCGTGATCAGCGATCATTTGGGCATGAGAACCATTAAGCCAAAAAGTGTCCCCAAACTGTCCCACACATGTTCGGTCTGATTGCCAATGGTAATGCTGATAATGATGATGACGATGGTGATGATGATGATGATGGTGATGGATGATGAGGAGGAGGAGGAGGAGGAGGAGGAGGAGGAAGGAGGAGGAGGAGGAGGAAGGAGGAGGAGGAGGAGGAAGAGGAGGGGAGGAGGAGGGGGAGGCGGAGGAGGAGGAGGAGGAGAAGAGAAGAGGAGGAGGAGGAGGAGGAGGAGGAGGAGGAGGAGGGGGAGGAGGAGGAGGAGGAGGAGGAGGAGTTTTTGGGGAGAAGATGATGATGATGATGAGGAGGAGGAGGCACAGGAAGAGGAGGAGGAGGAGGAGGAGGGGGAGGAGGAGGAGGAGGAGGAGGAGGAGGAGGAGGAGGAGGTGGACGACGCCGCTGGCGACCGCGCAGTGTGGAAAGGGAGAGTCTGATAGGAGGAGGGGGGTGGAGGATGGAGGAATGACGGAGGCATGAGGTCGGTTTGGACTTCAGTTGCCCATTGCCCAGTGCGCACGCCTCCCTTGCTAGGCGAAGAAGGCACGGACGGCGGGTGCTTGTCGGGACGATTTGTGCGGTGGGTTCTGGCACCGCGTGTATCGTCCAACCTTGACCGATCGTGGCTTTCCGGCAGCGCTGGTCGTTCGGTGTCGGCCGATCCCAGGCCAATGGCGGCGATCGGCGGGTCGATGCAGACGTATGCCAGGAATCCGGATACACGTGACCTGGCTGGCCTGGGCGAGGGATGGGTGCACGTGTCGTTGGGTGCCTGTCCAGCGCTCGGCCCTACTCCGTGGCCAGCCACGCCAGGCTTCCGCATGCGGATCCAGCGCGCAGCCTCCAGATGTGCCACACGCGAGTCGGGCCACGTGTCGGGGGCCCCTGAACGGTATGGTGACCACAGCGTGTGGTGAGTCAGTGGGGGTTCGAGGTCACCGCACCTTTTGTGGGACTCGGGTCGTTCTCCGAGGATGTCTCGGGCGACTGGGGCCTCCAGTGTCCCAGAACCGTTCGGTGACGGACCGTGTGGTGATGTCGTTGGTGGTACCGAGGACTCCACACGGTCTGCCACTACACGGTTTTGGGACCCCCAAGCATGTGGGGCGCTCCAAAAAGGGCCTTGTCTCCGAGGATCGAAGGAGTTGCCATCTCTTCCGCGGCGGAAGGTGGCGGAAGGTCGGGGGAAGGTCGGCGCAAGTATGACGAGGCCGCCTCCGCCAGCGGAAGCCAGCGGAAGCTCGGCGGAAGCTCGGCGGAAGGCGGCGGAAGCGAAAAATGCGTCCCCAAGAGATACAAGCGTTTTTGGGGTTCAGGGGGTCCGAAATCCGCCATGTGCTTCCAGCTTCCTGGTAGCTTGCGCCCTTACATCGTGGCGGGGCGTGCCCCGCGGCAGGTACCGCGGGGAGCGCTGCGCCCTGACGCCGCTGGAGTTCAACAAGCTCTGCGATGAGCGCGCCTCGCCGCCGTGAAGGGAGCGACGACGGTGGTGGCGACGACGACCACGACGACGGCGGCGATGACGACCGCGAGGTGCTACTCGTACCGATTGTCCATGCCTGCAAAAGGCTGTGCGAGGAGCGCCTCGCCTCAGTGGAAAGTGCGGCGGCGGAGGCGCGACGATCGAGGTTCGGGGAAGTCTCTTGCCCCTGTCGGGCCTCTGGAGCCGTTCTTTGGGCCTCCGGGCAATGAACAAGTCTTCGCGAGGTGAAGATGATGGCCAGGGTGGATCCCGGGAGGCGGCAGCATCGGCGAGGGCGGCGGCGGCGACGGCAACGACGGACGAGGATTGAAAATCGAGGATCGATCGGGCTTCTAGGATCGGGGCCTCGCTTTGGCGTTCGCCCTCTTTTGTCATCCGGTGGGCTTCTCGTCCCACGCTTAGATTCTTTCCGAAACTCTGGTCAGAGAGCACCCTTGAAGAGGCATTTTTTTGTTCGACGGAAGAGGAGGAGGCGGAGGAGGATTGAGGAGAAGGAGAAGAAGCAGCAGGATAACGGTTCCCAGAGGAAGCGCAGGAGGTCTATTCCTCATCCTACTTGTCCTATTCATCCTCCTTCCTCTTCATCTTCGTCACCCCCTGGAGGCCTCGAGAGGTCTGTGAAGGTATCCTGAGGTCCCGGAGGTTCCCCGAAGACCCCCGAAGCTTCCAGCGGTTTCTGGATGTCGCCTGGTCTGATCACCTTGCATCCTCCGCTTCAACTGCTTAGCAACAGTGCATAAGCTCTGGGTGTCTGACCTTTGAGAGTCGTTCTTCGCTTCGTTCGCCCGTGCACGGGCGCGGCGTTCCTTGCTCTCAGATCGAAAGACATTGCGGCGAGGCCGACTTGTTTGAAATTGCGGTTCCTATAGGCGAACTGGTTTATAGCTGATATTGTGTGCGGTAGCCAACTGTAGTATGACACATCACGGTGCCGCACGACGTTGCATGGCGTGCTTTGCCGTGGCTTGTTATGGTTGTGTGGCATCGCTCAGTACTTCGTGGTAAGCCCTAGCATCTTATACCACTTTGCACGGCGCTGCATACCTCACATCGCCGTTTTCCGTCGTTGAACTCATTGCCGCAACTTCATATTATTTGTATGTGCGAAGGGATTTTTACTTGGGGTCGCGCTTTGCTTAGTCATGTGGTTTTCTTTGCAGACCTGACGGCCATAGTGGGCTGGAACCCATGTTGCTTGACGGACGCACTTTCTGAGTATAGCTTAATCACTGGTGCTCGCTGTTGTATCTAGCTACTGAAGCCGGTTGTGCTTACCTTTTTTTTTTTTCTCTCTATCTCTCTCTGGTACCAAAGATGTTCACGTCGACCTACGTCTCACGGCTAGGCCTGCCTTGGAGTTCGATTTGGGGCGTCTTCTCCTCCTCCTCCCTCCTCCCTCCAGGGGTTGATGGATGATGATGAGTATGATAATGAGGATGGTGCTGCTGATGATGATGATGATGATGATTATGAGGATGAGGATGATGATGATGACGACGATGATGATGATGACGATGATGATGATGACGACGATGACGATGAAGACGATGCTGATGATGCTGCTGCTGATGATGGTGGTGATGATGATGATGATGATGATGGTGGTGGTGGTGATGATGATGTTGATAATGATGATGGTGGTGATGATGATGATGATTCTGGTTATGACTGTCATGGGGAGGCGGAGGAGGAGGAGGCGGAGAGGAGGAGGAGAAGGGAGGATTGAGAAGGAGGAGGAGGAGGAAGAGAAGGAGGACGAATAGGAGGAGGAGGAGGACGACGACGACTGGAGGACGAGGGTGCGCCCGAGAGGACACGGCGCACATCAAGTTCGAGGATCCTGACCTGAAGCTGATATTCGACGCGCTCGTCAGCAACCCCAAGTGGAGGCCGCTTCGGGGAGGTCTGGATCTGATATGTTCGGTGTTCGACTTTCAGGGTGGGTGCTTATATTCTAGAAGTCCGAAAGCTGTTCCTCGGCTTCGGCATTGGCGGCACCGTTTCGGGGCTGGGGGCTGTCAGAGATCGATGCTGGACGGGAAACTGGCCAGGGCGGGTCCAATCGTCATCGTCCTCCTCCTCAGCGCCCTTCTCCCTCCCCCTTCCTCCCTCCTCCCTTCCGCCTCCTTCCGCCGTCCTCCTGCTTATCGGGGGAAGGGAACAGGGAGGAGGGGCTCGAAAGATACCATGACCGTCCGAACACTTCACTCCTCGACCTTTTCCCCTCTTGCCCTGTTCCCCTCCCTCCTCCCTTCTCACTTGCCCCCTCCTCTGGTCTTAGCAGCCCTGCAAGGACGCCGTCCTCCCGTAGAGAGATCGAGGGTCGAGGTTCGAGGATCGAGGATCGTCGACGTTTTCGCTTTGAAGATGTTGTTTCTCGAGTTTCTGGGGGTTCTCGTCCTTGGCTGGACCCCCCGTTTGAAAACCTGGCCGGGACGGACCCCGACCGCACCCCTGGGGTGGGTGACCGCGTCCCGACGGGGACATCGCAGAGCTCGCGCCGCAAAGTGTTCTTTTCCCCACATCCGAAGTCATGACCATCGCCATCATCACCCACTCACCCACTCACCCACTCACTCACTCACTCACTCACTCATTCATCCACTCATTCACTCATCATCATCATCATCATCATCATCATCATCATCATCATCATCATCATCATCATCATCATCATCACCATCACCATCACCATCACCATCACCATCACCATCACCATCATCATCACCATCACCATCACCATCACCAGCATCATCATCAGCAGCACCATCACCAGCATCATCATCATCATCACCCCCATCATCATCATCATCATCATCATCATCATCATCATCATCATCATCAGCATCATCATCATCATCATCATCATCATTCTCATCGTTCTCATCATTCTCATCATCATCATCATCACCATCATCAGCATCATCATCATCATCACCATCATCATCATCATCATCATCATCATCATCATCATCATCATCATCATCATCATCATCATCACTCATTCACATTGACTCATTCCCATCAGCGAGGACTTCTCAGGGCGGGACCCCCCTCCCTATGGGGCCCGCAGATCATGTTACTAATCCCAGCGGGTCGTCCTCAAGTCTGTAGCTGTCATCACTTTGGGGCCCTGCAGGCCTGAATATGAAGAAAGGCTCGAGCGGGAGCCTCGTCGGTGAGCGAATGGCGAGGACGTCTCAGGCGGGAGCCCCCTCCCTATGGGGCCCGCAGATCATGCTATTAATCCCAGCGGCTCGCCTTCAAACCTGCAACTGGCGTCACTTTTGGGCTCTTGAGGCTTTGGTATGGAGGAAGGCTCGCGCGGGAGCCTCGTCGGTGAGTGAATGGCGCGGAAGTCTCAGGCGGGAGCCCCCCTCCTTCTGGGGCTCGCAAATCACGTCATTCATCCCAGCGACTCGTCCTCAAACCTGTAACCGTCGTCACTGTTGGGCTCCTCGAGATTGAATGTGGAGGAAGTCTCGAGTGGGAGCCTCGCCTGGGAGCGAATCGCGAGGATTCTCGAACGGGGGCCCCTCCCTATGGGGTCCCCACCTCCATGTTCGAATCCGAGCGGTCGCAAGGAAGCCTCAGGCGGGAGCCATTCCCTGTGGGGCCCGCACTTCTTGCTCGAATCCGAGCGGGTCATCCACATCCTGTGAGTGCCGTCGCTGTTGGGCTCCTCAGGCCTGAATCTGGAGGAAGTCTCGAGCGGAAGTCTCGTGTGAAAGAGAGAGAGAGAGAGAGAGAGAGAGAGAAAGAGAGATAAAAAACAAAAACAGCTAATCGCGAGGCGGTCTCGAGCGGGGGGCCCTCCCTACGTGGCCCGCACTTCATATTCGAATCCGAGCGGATCGTCGAAGTTCTGCGATTGCCGTCGCTTTTGGGAGGAGGAGGAGGAAGCGGGAGGTGGAGGAGGAGGAGGAGGAGGTGGAGGAGGAGGAGGAGGAGGAGGAGAAGGAGGGGAGGAGGAGGAGAAGGAGGAGGAGGTGAGGCGGAGGAGAAGAGGGATAGGAGGAGGAGGAATAGGAGGAGGAGGAGAAGGAGGAGGAGGGGAGGAAGAAGGGAGGAGGAGGAGGAGGAGGAGGAGGAGGCGTGTTTCCCCTGGGCCGTGCTTCGGCACGTATCCACTGCGACGCGCACGAGGCGGAGGCAGAGGAGGAGGAGGAGGAAGAAGATGAGGAGGAAGCGGAGGATGAGGATCCACACGAGTGCAACACGATCCTCTGCGATCCTGGCGCGGGCGGGCCGGCACCTCCAGAACGTCGCGAGCATGCGCAAGACGGGGGAAATCCACGTTGGCAGGGATGTTTGGTTCACGGCCGTGCAGGAGAAGCTGAAACATAATACGAAGAATCGGCCAGGGCACTTTCAGGAGCAGAGGGTCACCATCGTGCCCGACGAGGAAGAGTACGAGGAGTGCGCGCCAGGTCAGCGCTTTCGCCCCCGTTTCCCATTAAGGAATCTGGATGCGGGTGCACGGTTTCAAGGAGCCCCCAATCCACCAGGAGGTCGCCGAGCTGCTGCCACAGGGCGCCAGAGGCGCTGACGACGGCGAGGCCGAGGCGCGGGCGAGGAGCTTGCTCTTGCTCAGGCCCAGCGAGCAGGACTTCATGTGGCAGAGCTCGGGGCCGCGCGTCGTGCGCCAATCGGGGTTCACCCTGACGCCTGACGCGCGCGTCCTACCTGACCTCCACGCTGTCGCAGGGTCAGACGCTGTGCAAGGGCGCCACCGTCCACTGCGCCAGGGATGAAAAGACGCTAGTCGCGCGGCCATGTCGGACGAGCAGTTGTGGCTGCACCTGCGTCATGTCCCCCCGCGCCACGCGCCTGCGGAGCACGCCGATCCTCCAGCCACCCGCGCGAGAGTTTCTGGAGCGCGGGCCGCCGGCGTCCCGGCGGAAGGCGCTCAGGTAGTTCGACGAGAGAGTGGAGAATTCCAGGGCTGAGGCGGAGCAGTTCGCGGCGACAGAGCTCGGCGTCGCGTGGCCTCCCCCCGGGCGCGGCCGCGACTTGCTCCAGACCAACGGGTGGTCCCAACGGCCTGCTTCCGCGCCCCAGAGGGTCGCGGGGCTGCCCCGACGGCCTAGCCCGCGGGCGTGTCCCGACGGTTCACGATCCTGCCATCGGAGAACGCGCGCGCGCGCGCTGGTGCAGGCGGCGACGGCGCCGAGGAAAATCGATTTGCGCGCCCTCGCAAGAGAGGAGGGGGAAGAAGGTGGATGGGTCAGTTTGGCCAAGAGGACGAGGAGGCAGAACAGGGGGCGAGAGGAGGGTCTCCGCGAGGGTGGAAAGGGAGAAGGGCGATGGGAAAACAGGAGAGACCGGCATTCACCAGAATGGCGATGAGGTTTGTTGTCGCATTTGTTTGGGAAGTTCTCATGAGGGGTCTTTCCGTCGGAGTATTGTTTCGGTTTCGGCTTGCAAGGGCCCGCTTCGGGCCATGGGGCTGTCGGAATCTGGGGTGGGACAGCGGAGATCTGTGCTCCACAGAAGCTCCCACTGGTCGGGCGGGCGGTACTGGGGGGTGAATTGACTGGAGGGTGAAGACGAAGGCCCAAAAAGGGGCCCGTTCCTGCCCCCCTCAATTAGGTCACCTCCAGTACCACCCGCCCGAACCATGCCAATGTCGCATCAATGGCTTGCTGGGCAAGCGCAAGGGGGGGCCGTCGCCCGTGCGTCTGGAGGGCACCCGAGTGTCTGACAAGGGCGCCCTGACATAGGCACGTTCCGCATGGCCTCCTCGTTCTCGCGCCTCGACCGAAGCCTGCGCCCAGGCCCCCCGTGCCCTTGGCCTGCTCCACTCGCCAACCTCCCTTTGCCCAAGCGTCCACAGAGTTTGCAAATATAGAGTCTGAGTTGTCTCTACTAGTCCGCCTGGCGCGGCCGGCTTCGGACCCTGGGCGTGTCAAACAACTGCCTCTCTCGCCCTCACAACGGCATTCGACACGGCCCTGTCGCCCCTCAGGAGTATCTTGGTGCTTTCCGCAGCTACCCCGCTGGTTCGTCCTCGTCCCCTTTTCTTTCTCCTCCTTTTCCTCCTCCTCTTCCTCCTCCTCCTGCTCCTGCCGCTCCTCCTCCTCCTCCTCCTCCTCCTCCTTCTCCTCCTCCTCCTCCTCCTCCTCCTCCTCTTCTCCTCCTCCTCCCCTTCCTCTTCCTCTCCTCCTCCTCTATAGCTCCTCTCCTCCTCCTCCTCCTCCTCCTCCTCCTCCTCGTTCTCCTCCTCATCGTCCTCCTCCTCCTCCTCCCTCTCCCTCCTCCCCTCGGCGCCTGCTCCCCGCCCCTCCTGGAGTCTGGCCAGGGCTTCCCGGGACGCCCAGTTGGCCCCCTGAGGGCCCCAACCGGGCTCCGTGTGGCCCCCTGGGGGGTCCCGGAAACAGCACGCAGTTGACACCTCGGGAGCCTTGAGACGGGGGTCAATGCACACGGGGGTCAGCCAGGGCACCAGATCCTGCAGGATCCTGCGAAGACCCCCTCTGGCTGACCCGGGTTAGCGAGCCGCTCGTGGCCGCGAAGTGGCCGCGCATATTGGTTGACCCTTCTTTGCGAAGACCTGCGTTGCAGTTTTTTTTCCTGCACTGCAGTTTTTGGTTTCCTGCTGACCCGGGTCTGGATTGACCCGGGTCAGAAGATACCCGAACACGTCCCTTTCCCTTGGTGGGGGTCGGTGCTGTGTTAATCAGAGGTGGAAAGGGTACCCATGCCTCTACCCCTCGGCCGTTTTCCCCTTTTGGGGCCTCCTCGGAGGATCTCGGCGCCACCTCTGGATTCGCTTCAAAATCCTGGTCAGAACGCACTCCAGGAGAGGTCTGGGGAGTAGCGGTATCGCTACCTTTAGGTTTCCCCAGGTAAATCTGCGTCGGATTTGGGGCTCTCGTTGGGGACCGCTTGGAGCCGTTCG